CTTAGAAGGCTGAGGCAGAAGGATCGCCTGAACCCCATAGGTTGAGGCTGCGGTAGCCATGAATGCGCCACTATACTGCAGTACAGGTAACAGAGTGAGACTCTGATTCAAACAATAAAATTTAAATAAATAAGTGTTCCACAAATGATTTGAATTGGTGACCAAATTAAACGAACCACTGGAATAGTCAGTTTCCATCTTCCCATAAGTATATCAAAGGAAAGGCAGTACCTTCTTTCAGAATAGTTCTTTTGACACAGCTTCCAATTAGGGTATTATAGGCCACTTGGTGTCTGATCAGATTTAGGATAATAGGAACTCGCCCAGGGTGCTGAAGGGTGATTTTGCTAACAAGGGTTCCCTGTAGACTTCGGCCATCTGGAAGAGGAGCATCCTTGTTGAGGAAATAGCAGTGCTGCTGACCTGGAAGAGCCTGGGCAAAAAGAACAAAGTTAATGAGTGCTATTCAGTTACCTGCTATATGCCAACCAAACTAGCCTAAAATAAATCTACTCCTCAAAAAAAAGCAGGAAAGTCATGGGGAATGATACAAAAACTCCACAGAGAATTCTTTGGTTATCGGATACTACAAATGCCAATCAGGCTGTGCTCTGCAGGCTCATTCCAGCATTTTGAGGCCAAGGCAAAGGATCACTTGAGGTCAGGAATTTGAGACCAGCCTGAACAACGTAGTAAGACCCTGTCTATACCAAAAAAAAAAAAAATTGCTGGGCATGGTGGTATATACCTGTAGTCCCAGCTACTGGGGAGGCTGACTTGGAGGATCACTTGAACACAGGAATATGAGATTGCAGTGTGCTATGATTGTACCATGGCACTCCAGACTGGACAACAAACCAAGACCCTTTCTCTAAAAAAATAAAGTAATAAATAAATTCTTTAAATTGCCAATTACTCATTTGTCTGAAAAAAATCCTTTTAACTAAATGTTCTATGCTAATGGTTTCCTAACCCAACTAACATAAAAATTACCTCAGGAATCAGTATTAAAGAGGTACCTAAACCATAAGTACAAAATCTCTATTTTTTAAAAAATACCTATATAATTATAATATAGCCAGAATTTGGGAACTACTACTTTAGGCTATTGTCTAACATTCAGGTAAATTCAAGCACATATGAGATTTTGGAACCTTCTACAATTTATTAATTTCAGCACTCTCTTCTCCATAAGTGCCTGGAGGACCTGTGCAGATTATAAGCTTATAGCACTTGAAAGAATTAAACAATAAAAACTTGTGGCCAGGCATGGTGGCTCACGCCTGTAATCCTAACACTTTGGGAGACACAGGCGAGAGGACTGCCTGAGCCCAGTTCGAGACCCGTCTGATCGACTTGACAAGAACTTGCCTCTATAATAAATCAAAAAATTAGCCAGGCGTGGTGGCACATGCCTATAGTTCCAGCTACTTGAAAGGCTGAGGCGAAGGATTGCCTGAGCCCATCAGGTCAAGGTAGCCGTGAGCATGCCAGAGCACTCCAACCTGAGTTCGACTCAAAAAAAAAAAAAAAAAAAAGACATACAATTGTAAAAGTTCAAAATACCAGTAAGTCGTTCATCTAAAATTTCAACAAAGAGATCTGCATTGGCCGGGCTCAATGGTTCAGCCTGTAATCCCAGCACTTTGGGAGGCTGAAGTAAGTGTATTGCCTAGCCTGCAGGATCGAGACCAACCTGGGCAACTTGATGAGACCTCATCTCTACAATAAAAATAAAAAATTAGCCGGGTGTGGTAGCACACACCTGTAGTTCTGGCTACTTGGAAGGCTGAGGCAGAAGGATGGCCAGAACCCAGCAGGTCAACGTCGGGGTAGCCAATTTCTTGTCTTACTAAGAAAACAGAACATGACCGAATAGTCCTAAAGAAAGTTATCTACCTTCAATAACACTATAAAGATTCTGATCTTGGGTCCGAACATAACCTATAATATTCTAGCTCCATAGGGTCTTACTTACAGCATAAAATCGCATGTTGTGATTCAAAGGTATGGGGTCAGGGTCCTTTGATAGCTCAAACTGAGTGATCAGTTCATAGAGGGGTACATAAGTTGGTTGAGTTTCAAACAATGGAATTCCTAGAAAAACAAGGATCAATATAATGATCACATTAATATCAAAACATTGACAGCTGTTTCTCCTTCATTATTTCTACATTAATTCACCCATTTATTTAAAAAGTAAGTACTAGCCGGGCTCGGTGGCTCAGCCTGTAATCTCGCGCCTTTGGGAGGCTGAGGTGAGTGGATTGCCTGAGCCCGTGGGTTCGAGACCCGCCTGGGCAGTGAGACCTCATCTCTACAATAAATCAAAAAATCAGCCGGGCGTGGTAGCGCACGCCTGTAGTTCTGGCTACTTGGAAGGCTGAGGCAGAAGGATCGCCGAAGCCCAGTGGGTTGAGGCTGCGGTGGCCGGGAGCGGCCACTGCACTCCAGTCTGGGCGAGAGAGTGAGACTCCAACTCAAAAAAAAAAAAAAAAGAGAAAAAGTAAGTACTAAGCAAGTACTAAGCTTTTAATAGTACAAAGTTCAAAACATCTATACCCAGCAATACATCTTTGAAGCCCACATGACTGAAACAGGCTAAGATAATCTGATTTTAAATTTCCCCTTTCACATTTATAACAAGTGAGTATAAGTCTCCTGATGCTAAAAACTCACCTGTGCAGTTCTGCAGTTTCTGAACAAATGCTCTCGATACTGGGATTGGCTGGGGAAATTTCAGGAAGAAACAGGCAGGAAGATCAACACTGTTGGCACTGGTGATTGAAGAGAAGGAAGGGGTCCTTCAAAAAGGAGAGGGGGAAAGGGTTAGATTTTAACTTGAAAATGAACAATGAAGACATCTTTAGACATGTATATATCACATAAATACACACTTAAAAATGTTATCAAAAGCTCACTCTTTTGATAAATTCCTTTCCCCATTTCCAAAACATGTTATCATCTGTTAATGCTGTAGCATATAATCGAACATTTATCCTGAGGCATGTTCTCCAGTTCGTGCTCCAATATAACTCCAAATCAACAAGAGATAAAAGGGGACACTTATTAAACCAGCAGATTTAGCACAGTTCTCTTCATTTTCTCTCAATGTAGAGAGTGTATATTCTACAAGAAGACTTGAGAGGAACATTCAAACAGATATTAAACAAAAAAAGAAAATAATGGATAAAACAAAAAGCCAACCCCTAGAAATTCAAGTGGGGAGAAGAGTCATGTGAAATACTTGGTCTATACTGGGCTTGAAGTTAAAAAACTGACTTTGTTACTCTAAAATTATATTTAACTTACCACTTGTTGTCAATTGGATGTGACCCCATAATTAACGGTGCAATTGGAAGTTTGTACATAGCAGATGTTCCTTCAATTGTCACTGATGCATTCATGCCCAAAGATCGAGGAACTGGGAATAAGAAAGAGGCATTCTTCAAAATAACATAAATTATGGAGATCACCATTTTTTTAAAAAGATTAACTTCTAAATTATTTGTGGGCCATCATTTATCAGATACTGTAATTCCATGTAACTTTAAAATGCTGGATGCTACCTTTCTAAATAACCATTCTCTTTCTCTCACTAAGTAAAACAAAACACCAAAAAAATGCAGTCCTAGGGAAAAAATTTTGAATGACTCATTACCAATATTTACTTAGTTTCTCCAATTCAGGATGCATTTAAGTAGGATTATAATTATGAGATGGATTCATCAGTGAAGTTACAAAGGGACCAAATGAGGTATTAAGGCTATTTCTCATCATCTTGTTGTATTAACTGCAAAAAGAAAATAACATCCATTACTGTATTCTTTAGTTCAGAAGACTAAATTCTTCACCTTTTTTTTTTGAGTTGGAGTCTCACTGTCGCCCAGACTGGAGTGCAGTGGCCACTTCCGGCCACCACAGCCTCAACCTGCTGGGCTCCAGCAATCCTTCCGCCTCAGCCCTCCAAGTAGCTGGAACTACAGATGCACGCTACCATGCCCGGCTCATTTTTTGATTTATTGTAGAAATGAGGTCTTGCCTGCCCAGGAGGGTCTCGAACCCGCGGGGTCAGGCAATCCACTCACCTCAGCCTCCCAAAGGCGTGGGATTACAGGCTGAGCCACCAAGCCCGGCTTTTTTTTTTTTTTGTTAATTGCACATCACTCCTTTATTATACTGATCTGTAAAGACATAGTACAGTTATGCTCAGAATGAACACAGCCCGAGGCAGGGCAAGCAACTAGAACATGATTCAGAAGCCAGTCAGTGACAGACACACCTGGACGTGATGAGGCCACTCACCAGCCAAGGAAAGGCTCAACACCCAGCAAGCAGTTCAACCCCTCAGGGCCAAGACTGAACCCGTGTTGGTGCAAGGAATGGTTTGTTCTGAGACCACATATGGGACTATTCCCACCACCACTAGAAGCCCCAGAAGGATTTTGTTTTGTATTATTTATACATATTTTTTGTAAAAGTAAATGCAACACATAGACTTGCTTCAGGATTGATCCCAAACTACTGGAGCCAGAATCTCTGGGACCAGGGAGGAAAGGATTGCTTCTGAACTGCTGTGCAGATCACACTCTTCTGCACTGGAATGACTGCAGCCCCAGCAGGTCCCCTGAGCAGCAAACAGGCCTGGCTCCTGGGAGCAGAGGTTCTCTCGCTTCTCCTCACTGGACACGCCTCGGCATCGCTCTTCCCTGTCCCCGACTCAAACAGGTCCCCAAAAGACAGGGGCTACCAGGCAATGCATGGCCAGGAAGAGCCTTCCCTCGTCCAGGACCGAGAGCCAGGCCCCAGAGGTGCAGTTCCCACTAGACCGTATGAAGGGAGTGGGTACAGGAGACCGATGGCTAACATGACAGTGGGAACCACCGGCCCCCTCTCCAGCTACAGCTCAGGACGCTACAGACTTGGTCAGTGGGATGGGGCGGAATGGAGGGGAAGGAGAGAGGGGAGGGAGGTGCCTGGATGGTCGTTGCTGGTGGCCCTCACTTTTTGGCCTTGTACTGGGTGGTAACAGCTTCCATGGCTTTGCACACGGTCTCCTCGTCCCCCAGGAACTGCATGGGCTTGATGGGGATCAAGGTCTTGTCCAACTCATACACGATGGGCATCCCAGTCGGCAGGTTCAGCTCCATGATTGCCTCTTCAGAGACACCTTCCAAGTGCTTGACAATGGCCCGGAGGCTGTTGCCATGCGCCCCGATCAGTACCCACTTGCCCTCCTTGATCTGGGGAATGCTTTCCTCATTCCAAAAGGGCAGCACTCTGGCAATGGTGTCCTTCAGACTCTTACAGGAGGGTAGCTGGTCTTCAGTGAGGTCTGCGTACCTACGATCCTTGCTGATGTTACCATAGAAGGGGAGGTCAAGCTCCATGGGCGGCAGCACGTCGTAGGAACGCCTCCAGATCTTCACCTGGGTCTCACTGTGCTTGGCGGTGGTCTCCGCCTTGCTGAGGTCCCTCAGCCCCCCATAGTGGCACTCATTGAGGCACCACAGCCTCACGACCGGGCAGTCATATCCGGTCGATGATGTCCAGCATCGTCCAAAATCTACGGATGGCTTGCTTCCACACAGAGGTGAAGCAGATGTCGGACACATAGCCAGCGTCTCGCAGCGCCTGCCCACCATGCTTTACCTCCTCGTGGCCCCCCAGGCTCTGGTCAATGTGGTACCAGCGGATGAAGCGGTTCTCCAGGTTCCAGGCACTGTCACTATGCAGGATCAGCACCAGCTTGTAGGAGGACATGGCGGCGGGCAGGGGACGTGGAGTCAGCTCACTTTTCTTTTATTTTGTTTTTTTTTGAGTTGGAGTCTCACTCGGTCGCCCAGACTGGAGTGCAGTGGCTGCTCCCAGCCACTGCAGCCTCGCCTGCTGGGCTCCAGCGATCCTTCCGCCTCAGCCTTCTGAGTAGCCGGAATTACAGGCATGTGCTACCACGCCCGGATGATTTTTTTGATTTATTGTAGAGATGAGGTCTCGCTGCCCAGGAGGGTCTCGAACCCACAGGCTCAGGCAATCCACTCACCTCAGCCTCCCAAAGTGCTGGGATTACAGGCTGAGCCACCGAGCCCGGCTTCATGTTTCTTTAAGAGACAGCGTCTCTCTATGTTGTCCAGGCTGGAGTGGAGTGACTATTCAGAGGCATGATCATAGCCCACTACAGCCTTGAACTCCCGGCTCAAGGAATCCTCCTGCCGCAGCCTCCAGAGTAGCTGAGACTACAGGCACACACCAACGCACTCAGCCTTCTTCGCCTGATTCAGGTAAGATGGTTTACATCTCTTGATTCACTCATTTACTTCTTTATTCAAAAGTAGTTATTTAGCTCCTATAATGTATGTGTGTGCATAGGTGTATGTGTGTATATATATATGTACATGTGTATGGATACATTTATGTGTGTATGAGGTATTAATGTGTATCAGGTGTAAATGATAAGGACAGCAAACTCATCACAGAATAGCAAACCAGAAATTAAAGGCAGGTTTGGCATTCAAATTTTTAACATATTTTTGAAACACTAAACAAACCATCAGCTGCTTTATACTTAAAGTCTTACCATTATTCTCATGTAAAATAATGGGCGATGAAGTCTTATCGTCCAGCAGGTCAGAAGGAGAGGCATAGTACTTCAAGTTCATTAAATGACCTATGAAAATAAAACTCACTACTGTATCTTTATCAGGTAAATTCCAAACAAAAACATTCACATTTTCATAAAGTGTTCAAGAAAATAATTTTATTTTATTTTTTATTTTTTATTTTTTTGAGTTGGAGTCTCACTCAGTCACCCAGACTGGAGTGCAGTGTCCACTTCTGGCCACAGCAGCCTCGACCTGCTGGGCTCCGGTGATCCTTCCGCCTCAGCCTTCCAAGTTGCTGGAATTACAGGCACGTGCTACCACGCCCGGCTAATTTTTTTATTTATTGTAGAGATGAGACCTCGCCTGCCCAGGCGGGTCTTGAACCTGCAGGCTCAGGCAGTCCACTCACCTCAGCCCCCCCAAAGGCGCGGGATTACAGGCTGAGTCACCGAGCCCAGCTAAGAAAATAATTTTAAATATATGCAAAGTCATGCTCCAAAGCTGCATATGAAATATGACAGAGGAAGCCGGGCTCGGTGGCTCAGCCTGTAATCCTGCTCTTTGGGAGGCTGAGGTGAATAGACTGCATGAGCCCGCGGGTTCCAGACCCGCCTGGGCAACTTGGCGAGACCTCATCTCTACAATGAAATCAAAAAATTAGCCAGGCATGGTAGCGCGCGCCTGTAGTTCCAGCTACTTAGAAGGCTTGAGGCGGAAGGATCGCCGGAGCCCAGCAGGTCAAGGCTGCAGTGGCTGGAAGCGGCCACTGCACTCCAGTCTGGGCGACAGAGTGAGACTCCAACTCAAAAAAAGAAATATGACAGAAGACTAAGTACTGATCCTGGGAATAACAATTTACTTCACACAATTGAAATAAGAAAAGACTGGGGAAGGGCAGGTACTGACACCTTAGAAATCATAACATAATATTCAAATGACTAGTAATTTCCTCCCTCTGCTTATATCTTTATAAACTCAAGGTGAAATTAAAAGTAATAACCCCTTAATTTAAATTAAACTTTTTTCTAAATAAGCAAAATAGGATCACGTACCCCCACTCCTTGGTGTGAGATAGCCGACACTTCCATGGAGAATCTTATCCAAGGGACCAGCGTTAGTTGCTTTCCTGCAAGACAAAAAAGCTGTTTGTTTATATTTAATCTTTGATGATGTTGGTACATAGTGTGATACTAGGTTTAGCTCTTACAAGTCTTATAATACTATCCTAATGCCTCTGTCCTATAATTTGGTATAAAGCAAGTGAATTTCACCTTCACATAAAGGGATTATTTCCATATAAAAACACTAGTATATAAAATGGTGAACAAAAATTTAAAATAGACTATTATTTATCAAATAGGAGTCAAAGTTTGACAAGTCAAGAGATAAAACCTATGGAATACCAACCAACAAGTTAGTGATACTCATACTCAGAGATCAAATGCAATGATCATTTGGGAAGGGAAAGGAGATGGTCAAGATGTATTATACGGGTTTAATAAAATAGGACCCCAGGTCAGGTGCAGTGGTTCACGCTTATAATCCCAGCACTTTGGGAGGTGAAGGCGAGAGGATACCCTGAGGCCGGGGATTCGAGACCAGTCTGGACAACTTGGTGAGACCTCACCTCTACAATAGATCAAAATAATCAATCAGGTGTAGTGGTGTGTGCCTGTAGTTCCAGCTACCTGGAAGGCTGAAATGGAAGGATTGCTAGAGCCTAGCACATCAAGGCTGTGGTGGCCAGAAGCATGCCACTGCACTCCAGTCAGGGTGAACAGAATGAGACTCCAACTCAAACATAAAATAAAATAAAAATAATAAAATAGGACCCCAGTCCTCTAGCAGAAAAACTCAGAGGGTCACATAGCACTGATGTGTTAGCAATCTTACCAGTACATAATAGCCATTTTGGAAAGATCTTGTTCTAAGGATTGGAGAGCCAAGTACATCTTAGTCTTCAGTTTGCTGGGAAGTAGATGAGAAAAATATACATTAAGTAGTTGAAAAATACACATATATACACAAACATTGACATAGAAAGCCCAGGGGCAAGTCTGTATTAGAGGCAACAAAAAAAATTTTTTTTTTTTTTTTTTTTTTGAGTTGGAGTCTCACTCTGTTGCCCAGACTGGAGTGCAATGGCCCCTCCCAGCCACCACAGCCTCAAACTATTGGGCTCCAGCAATCCTTCCGCCTCAGATTTCCAGGTAGCTGGAACTACAGGCGTGTGCTACCATGCCTGGCTCATTTTTTTATTTTATTGTAGAGATGAGGTCTCGCCAAGTTGCCCAGGCGGGTCTCGAACCCGCAGGCTCAGGCCATCCACTCACCTCAGCCTCCCAAAGGCGCGGGATTACAGGCTGAGCCACCGAGCCCGGCTACAAAAAAAATTTTAACAGTAATTTTCATCAGTATTAAAGCTTATGTTTAACACTATCACAGCTTATTTTTATTTGTGTTTAAAAAAGTCAAGCAGGTAAATGGAATCCCAGGTAGGTTAAAAATAAAAGTGACAAGTCAGTTCCACAACAACTCATTCCTTTCAGCCTGGAAATCAGTATTTGACATCTCAAGGGTTACAGTCTGCCTTCTAGCATTGCAATCTGTTAGTGGAGACACTGCCTATTTAAAATACGCTTAAAGCAGCCAGGCGTGGTAGTGCACGCCTGTAATTCCGGCTACTCAGAAGGCTGAGGCGGAAGGATCGCCGGAGCCCAGCAGGTTGAGGCTGCGGTGGCTGGGAGCGGCCACTGCACTGCAGTCTGGGCGACAGTGATACTCCAACTCAAAAAAAAATTAAAAAAAAGGAAAAAAAATAAAATAAAGCACGTTTAAAGGACAAAGTTGAACTCTGAGCTATAGATTGCAACATGAGTAGAAATCGTGAATGACATTCAGCAGAAGAGTTGACAAACTTCTGACTATGAAATGACATAGATTTACACTGATTTTTCCAAAAAGCAAAAAATAAAAATACTTACTTGTCACCTGGAAGGTTATACAGATTAACAAGGCCCTTAAGATGCTTAGAAAATTCATCAAAATTTTTTTCCCTGTAGGGAGTTTGAGAAAGAAAGGAAAGGAAGAAGAAAAAAACATACAATTACTACTCAATATTATATCAAAGTGCCAAAAAAGCATGGCTATATAAAACAGCTTTTAGCCAGGTGTGGCAGCTCATGCCTATAATCCCAACAATTTGGGAGGCTGTAGAGGATTACCTGAGCTCAGGGGTTCAATACCAGCCTAAGCAATATGATGAGACCTCATCTCTACAATTCATCAAAAATTAGCCAGGTGTGGTGGCACACATCTGTGGTTTCAGCTACTTCGAAGGCTGAAGCAGGCTGAGGTGGCTGTGATCTTGCCACTGCACTCCAGCCTGGACAACAGAGTGAGACTCCGACTCAAAAAAAAAACCTGACTTTAATAATTTCTTTTATGCCAGGCTCGGTGGCTCAGCCTGTAATCCCGCGCCTTTGAGAGGCTGAGGTGAGTGAATTGCCTGAGCCCGCGGGTTCGAGACCCGCCTG